TAAGTCTAAGTCTAAGTCTAAAATTTCGTAAGTTAAAAAAACGCTATAATCAAACTTATGTGGATTTTGTTAGAGATAAAGAAATTCTCTTTGATCGTTGGCGCGCTTCTAAAAATGTTGCCGATTTTGCGCAGGTTAAGCAACTTATTTTATTGGAAGACTTTAAAAACAGTTTGCCTGAGAAAGTTACCACCTACTTGAATGAAAATAAAGTCTCAAATGTGTCAAAGGCTGCAGTGCTCGTGGATGAGTACATGTTAACGCACAAAGGTAATTTTGAGCGCTCACATGTCTTTAGTAAATTTGACAACTCTGAAAGTAACGGGAAGGAGTGTGCCAAAACTGTTTCACTTGTCGAATCAGATATACCTGCTGCGCTCGGTGGCGTTGAAGGCAAATCGGATAACAGGTTGGAATTAAAAACTAATGTAACGTGTTTTTATTGTAAAAAGAGAGGACACATTGTGGCCAATTGCCCGGTTTTACAGAAAAAGAACACTAAGCCCGTCGCTCTAATTGAAACTGTAAAAGGCGATACTCATTCACTTTCAACACAGCCTTGTGAGTATGCTGATTTTAAGCCTTTCATTATGGATGGGTTTGTTTCTTTGTCTCTAACTGGTGAAAAGATCCCTGTAAAAATATTGCGAGACACCGCTGCCTCTCAATCTTTTATTATAGAGGGAATCTTGCTGTTGAATAACGACACTGCGATTGGTTCTGATGTGCCAGTGCGTGGCTTTGGCATGCAAGACATCTGCGTTCCTCTGCACAAAGTCATGATCCAGTCTGAGCTGTGGTCTGGTGACGCTGTGGTTGGGGTGCGTCCTAGATTTCCAGTAGCGGGCGTCTCCGTGATCATGGGCAACGACTTGGCTGGGGGTCGAGTGTTGGTTACCCCGGATGTTACACCTGTTCCGGTGCTGAGCGACTGTCCAGATGCGCTCGCTCGTAAATTCCCAGATGTTTTCACGTGGTGCGCAGTTACGCGTGCAGCACTTAAACGTCAACGAGAAGAAAATAAAGATGAGTTTGACTTGAGTGAAAGTTTTTTGTTCAACGCTGAATCCGAACATGTTCCATTAAAGAAAACTGTGGAGGATGACATGTTGGATGTAAATACTAAATCAAGACTAAAAACACATTTGCTTAGGATTGCCTTCGACTGCTCTAGTTAAACAGTTCAACTGAAACATTATTAGTTCAACTTTTTTATTTTCTTTAGTTCAACTGTTTTTAATGTTCTTTTTTGTTTCTGCATTTTTTATTTTAGATTATATTCATTTTTTTCCTACTTGCTTTGATTCTGTTTTATTTTCCTATATTTTAATCATGTAGAGCACTTTGCCTTGTCTTTGTACTGAATTGTGCTATACAAATAAATTTGCCTTGCCTTGCCTTGGATATTCAAGCTTTTGATGACTCGTCTCATTCTGCTCTGACCTCACATCATCGAGGCTATTTTATCTGCACACCTTTCTTTGGACAGATTGTTGTGTGCTTAAATCAGATCAACAGTTTCTGAAATACTTATGCCAAACGACCATGCCTCTCTCAGAGCACTTCAATCATCTTTCTTACTTTGCTGCCTGATTGTCTGAGTTGCAATTTGTCTGAACAAGAAACTGAACTGGTGTCATTATCAGGTGGCCAATGGTTTTATATCAACATAATCTAATATTTCCAAATGCACATACATCTGGGAGCTATGAAGGTCATAAACCTTATTCCTTTTAATAAACTATATTTATATGATCAAATCTACTTGCTCAAGTACCTCCACGCTGTCCCTTACTTCATCCTTGATGCTTAAATAAATACCTACCTCATCAACGCATGCTGGCCTCTGAGCAGGTCATAAGATGCTTGGCACTGACGCAATGGCTGCTCCTCTTCCTGGAAGGCAGCACTGACAGGTGGTGTGGTGCTGGCAGCGCTGTTCAGATGGTTGGGCTTGCTGGCATACATGCAAGCCTCTACATAGTTATCAGCGCTCACATAACTCCATGTTTTGAAGTCTTTTGGTCGCCTAATAAATAACATCTTCACCCTAACATCATGGCTCGTTTTTTTTTAGAATGTTATAAGCTTGTGTTTGGGAGAAGACTACGGAGCCCCTAAAGGGACATGGAGGGGAAAAAAAGGACTTTTGTGAGATCTCGCAAAAATATTGCCGGATCTCTCAAAAGTTTATTTTTTGCGAGATCTCGCAATACTTTTGCGAGATCCCGCAATACTTTTGCGAGATCTCGCAATACTTTTGCGAGATCCCGCAATACTTTTGCGAGATCTCACAAAAGTATTGCGGGATCTTGCAAAAGTTTATTTTTTGCGAGATCTCGCAATACTTTTGCGAGATCCCACAATACTTTCGTGACATCTCGCAAAAGTATTGCGGGATCTTGCAAAAGTTTATTTTTTGCGAGATCTCGCAATATTTTTGCGAGATCCCGCAATACTTTTGCGAGATCTCTCAAAAGTTTATTTTTTGCAAGATCTCGCAAAAGTTTTGCGGGATCTCACAAAACTTTGTTATATTTTTTCCCTCCATGTCCCTTTAGGGGCTCCGTAGAAGACCGATTTATATACAACAAAAATGTTTAACTTGCCCTGATATACTTCAAATGTCTTATGCTGTTTTCAAACCAGGTGCTTTCTGGGCGTCAGAACGTCTGGTTTACATGCAAAGTCTACGGGGGACAGTGTTGATGGTGCTAGTGGTGATTTCGAGGGTCGGGAGCGGCGCATCCAAGCGTTCTGGTGTGTGAGCGTTTAAAACTGCTAAAAAGATGCACCAAAGAACATCATTTACATTATTTATTTAATATTTAGTGCACAATTTCATCAAAGGAAAATTATCCTCACATGAAAAATCATCGTCTGAAAATATTAACCTAACTTTCCCCTGCATGCAGCACCGCAGCGTCGAAGCATCGCAGCGTTCGACGCTGGAGTTCAGTAAGTTGAAATTTTGCGGCTGGAAACCCGAGCATCAACCAATCAGAAAAGCTGATCCAGGAATTTTCTGGGTGAGACAGTCATTGCCTATGCAGGCATTCTGCATATGAAAAATCAATAAATATCTAG